GGTATGTCAATCATCCTGCATACTGTACAGAGATCATATCCTATTTTATAATACAATATTCTATGAAAGTCTTAATATTTATCACAGCAATTCAAAAGTGGTTGATTGACCTTTTGAAATAAAAGTAGCATATATCTAAATCATGGCGATCAACTTATGAATATTTATGACTAAAACTTCCAGGTAGCTCGGGTGAATGTATGTGTCCCATTTCAAACCCATCTTTGGTAGTTTTTCAATGCAGCTTTACTCAATAATCTTGCATCGTTTCTTCCCAGGACAATTTGAAAACAGAGATTTGTGGTTTTCACTCTGGGGAACAGGACATTTTGTGTATATAAAGACAGTTTATAGAGGATTTGTCTAAACTAATTTTAAAACAATTTAGCCAACTGATTTTAAAATAGTAGCCATTCACAATTTCAACAACGTTCAAATGAACTAGTCTTCCTAGGTAAGGGTATTATCCGGTAGAAGTATGAAATACAATAAAGTATCCAATTTTATTTTTTGAAATCTTAAAAGTGGCTATTATGCAAACTAGATATTTAAAAAAAAAAACTAACCATAGCGGTGGTTTGTTCCATTGCAATCTATCGCATTATCTGGGAGTAACTATTCCTATCGACAACAAAAACTAAATTTCATTGAAATTCAATGAGTGGTTCTTGAGATATCTGGGACTGGGTAACTGCAAAAAAATAAATGCACACTAAATGTTTTTATAAGTACAATAATTTATCCGGACCAATCTAAATTAACTATATTAAAGAACAATGTTGGTACAAAACATTGAGGGCAGTATTATCCGTGGTGACAAGTATTGTTTTAAAGCTCAGATGCTACAGATTCTGAAATCCAATATGGAGACGAGATGAAATAATCTGAGAGATAACTGAATACACTTCCGTCTATTTTCAAATCAAAGGCAATGAAAACTAACTTAATAGGACTGCTTAATGATCAGAGTTTGTGGGTAATATTACAGTTTCCCCTATGTTATTGCCCAAACACAATGGCTAATTTGAATAAGTATTTTGCAACAATAGACACGTTTACCACATTGACCTCTATTTATTGAAATTTCAAGCTGCCATGCTAAAAAGATCATGGGACAAACAAAATTAAATAGATGCAAAACATGAAAATTTAACACTGTACAAACAATTGTAAACAGAATCAAGTTTATATTTGACTCAAATCATATTTTATTTTATGTATTTGGGAAAGCAACTTTAAGGTTTGTTTGGTTGGTGTGTTTTTTCTCCAATAAGGAAGTACATGTTATTTTAAATATGTCTGAGTGACAAATCACCAAAATACATTTTAAAGCACCGTAATAGTCGCGCCACGCATGTGCGAGATGTATGGGTCTCATATAAACAAAGATGGCGACTTTGACTGTTGCGCAGACCAACGAGTATGAATTGACATGTTTCCAAGCTTTAATTAGGCAATTTTCATGTGATTGGAAGGTATCGAAGGAGTCACCGGCGGTAATCAGTACAAGTCGTGCCCAAGTCAAACCTCATACTTGTGATTTCCATTTGAAGAGCGCATTGGATTGTGGGAAATCAATGTTTATCAACACAAATGTCGAACATGCGCAGCGCGACGATAGCTTTTAATTTCAAATGACTTGATTGTGTTTTAAATATAACAGATAAATAATACATAGATTACAAAGAACTGCACAATTAAATTAATCTATCCTTCTGTAAAATAATATCAAAACTCAGAGCAAAAGATATTATCTACGTCTACTTTAACAGACAACATTTATTCTTAATATTAACCAGTGGTAAACTATAAAATGACAAAATAATATTTATAAAAGTAAAAGGACTTGCTGCTATCGTGCAGCCAAGAATCTTCCTGAGCATATTGTACTCTGCTTCTGAGTGTTATAGTGGGACCACCTTCTTCCAAGTAACTACGCAGCGAGTCCAGCATCTTTAGCCATGGCGTAAAATACACCTTGTTTGAGAATTAAATTCATTGGTGAATCAAACTCTGCAATCTCACCTTGCTCTAAAACAAGGACTCTGCAAGAAGCCAAAGATGAATGTTATATAAAAATAATAATATTGTGCTCATTAATAAGTTGTATAAATAGCATTTGTCGTTAATAAATTTTAGCAAATTTGTAACCTTTCAAATAATCCACAGTCTGTCATTGCACAGTTCTTGAGGGACAGTGGAACAAATCATTTGAAAGCAAAACATGGGAGTAACCGCTGAACCAAAGTGTTGATGTGTTATGTTAACAATCTTGCCTGTCAAACAAAAATGGTATAGTTCAAGTCATTCAAGATGTAGGACTGCAAACTTAAGATTGCGTTCTTTCAACGACAATGATAAAACCTAAAGAAATGGTTTGGGTTTGTACTGACCGCAATCAACCTTATTTTAAATTTCTATCTATGGTTATATTGTTCATTCACTGTCAATAGTAAGCTTAGTGTTAATATGATATTGTTCCTTACACGTGGCTCATAGTGACTACCGGTACCTAATGTTTTTTAGTGTGATTGGTTCATTCATTATTAACTTTGCTTACTTTGTTTGTTTATTCACTCAGTGCAGGTCATTGCTTACCTGGTACTATCCATTATAGTGTTCAATCGATGTGCAATAGTTAAAACTGTGCAATCAGAAAATTGTGTACGAATTGTAGCTTGAATCAAATCATCGGTTTCCAAATCAACAGCAGCTGTAGCTTCATCTAGTACAATGATACGAGTCTTGCGTAATAATGCACGGGCTAAACACAGTAGTTGGCGCTGTCCAACACTATTAATTGAAAAAAGAAACATTTCCAAAGGGTGAGCAATGGACAAACTGTACTATGATCAGCCATTTACTATACCATGGAATCATCTCTTTATTACACATAAAATAAATTTTAGTGTATGCTTGATTATCCAAATATGACATCTTCTGACTGAACACAGAACTGTCATTCACATGTGCTAATAAAGCAACTACAGTACACACAATATTCAAATGCAGGGGAATGGTGTGCTAATGTCAGAATTGAAAATCAAGTATTAGGACTTTGGATCAGTAATTATTAATAAATGTTTATCTGGTGAATGAACTAATTAGGCTTGGGGTGTTCATATTTTGGTGACTCCCAAATTTAATGGTTATTTGTGACACTGTCAAAATTAACAAGTCATTGTTAATGACATAGTCCACGTTGGAATTAGGGGAAATGTTATTTATGCCAATAATAAAGTAATATGGACCAAAAGCATAGTTATTAATTTAGAGTGAATATTTGGCTGCTGTAGTAACAACAGAAATTAGATGTATTAAATGACTGCCAAAATCGTAATAAATGGTCAGAAATTAAACAGGATATGCTATTCATGCATTTTTTGTATCCAAACTGATTTTCATTTGTCCAGAGATACAAAACATGGAACAAACCATTATTGACACGTATCTCAACATGTACAATGTCTATATCAAATTCGCAAACCTACAAATCCTGTCCAAGATGCCACATTTTCAAAAAACAAGATGGATGCCAGTCAGCCATCTTTGATCTAATTATGAAACAAATGGACATGTATTCCAATATGTACCAAATTTAAATAAAAACTGACAAAGCATGCACAAGATACCACATTCTCAAAAAAACAAAATGGCTGCCAGTTGACCATTTTTCATCCGATGGCAAAACAAATCATCATAAAATGTATCCTAACATGTATAATATATGTACCAAATTTGAGCAAAAACTGACAAAGCATGCATAAGAAAGCGGATTTTCAAAAAACAAAAAAGGCTGCCAGTCAGCCTACTTGGATTGAATCAGTAAAGCACTGAATATGCATATGTTCTAGACAAAGAACTCGGCACATGCTAAGAATAAACAGATGTGGTCCACAGGGTTCTGAAATATGACTTCGAACCGAAGTCCCCGTTCCCGTTTTGAAATTCGTTCGAAAGGAGACTAACTATAAATAGACAGGTAAACAAACCTTAGATGATAATGGATGCCAAGACCTTGCTGAAAATGAGAGATTCAAATTGTGTTCCATGTCAGCGAATGGATGATAATTCAAGAGGTGACAACAAGTTTCCTGGCACTCTTAGCAGCTATTAACGCTCTGATCACACTCAAGCAAATACTGACCTGAGATTCTCACCACTCTCTGAACACACATGTTCTAATCCATCTGGTAATCCTGACACAAAATTAGACAAATGTGATAAATCTAAGGCTCTCCATATCTCGTCATCAGAATAGTGTTCAAATGGATCAAGATTCATCCTCAAGAGAACCAGCAAACAACACCGGATCCTGAAAATAGTTAAGTTGGTGGCAAAACGGGAATCATAAATATCGTTATGTTGCTACAGGAAAGGTAACAAAATCTTCACTTTTATTTACATACTGCTTTGTATAGCAGATATAAGAGTAGCTACAAATTGACTACAACATACAATATCAGCTATACAAGGTACTTATTTTTTTTATTTATAGCATACCTGTGGAATAATGGTAATACGTGATCTCAAATCATAGAGACCAATTTTACTAATGTTGACACCATCAATAAGAATGGAGCCACCAGATGCTTCTATAATACGAAACAATGCCAATGTGAGTGATGATTTTCCGGCACTGTACGACCAACAAGACCAACCTACAATGACAATGATACACAAATCTGATTTAAAGATGTATAAAACATAGGAAGCCTTTACTATATATGCATGTATTAAATACTGTTATAATGCAATACATTGTAAGTTTAAAACTGATTTCAATAGCCTGAATGCACTATAAGACTTATTAAAGATTATTAACAATGCTTTTCACCCAAGCTCCCTCCATTTGTTTTTCTGCTTCGCTACCGAAAATTGAATGTAGCACATTTACTATGAATCCCCATCCACACATACACCACTCTATGAATCCCCATCCACACATACACCACTCTATGAAACCCATCCACACATATACCACTTGAAGCACAGTCAACACATACATCACTCCATGAAGCAGTCCACATACACCACTCA